GGTTTTCATATTTTCTTGTATTCTGTCTGGTTGTTCTATCCATTATTAAGAGTTGAGTATTGAAGTTTCCAACTGTTAGTGCAGAACTATCTCTCCCTTCAGTTCTGTTTTTGCCTCATATATTTTGATGGTGTGTTATTATTTGGTAAATGTTTATAATTGTTTGGCCATCTTTATTTTTTAAAGAACAACTAGCAAAGTGTTTGGACTTCAGTAATTATTACTTTAACCCATTAATAATTAATTAAAATTTTTGACAGCAAGAATGATAGAAAGGGCTAAGTAGAGAAGTTCTATTTTCTGAAAGGTGCTAAAACATAAAATCTGATCAATTCTTTTTTAAAACACTTTTAAAGAATCTATAGAATACGTGATCCCTCCCACAGAGAAAAAGTAAACACTGAGATGTAGCAGTATTTTACTTTATATTTATGGATCCATCACCATGACATTCCATTAACACTAACAGTGCCATGAAGTTGGTTGAAATTCCCAGTATTCACTTGTTTCCATTTTTTTTTTTCTCAAGCAATCAAGTTGAAGCAATCAAGTTGAAGAAACGTTTCCACTACTATATTTATTCAGCTCTTCCAATGGGATTTTCTGTTAGTAAATCTGCTACTCAGTTATCTGCTATGTGTATGGATGCAAAAGTGGATGATCACTTAATGCAAGGGACTGAGAAAAGCAAGCTGGAACCAGTGACTCAGTTATTTCAAAACACTAAGAAAATAAGATTAGAAGACCCAAACCAAGAAACCCTTACAAGAGAGAAAGAGACTGGTCCAGGCTCTCTTTCCGAGAAAGCCGTGGGTTCAGTAGTTTATGTTAAAGAAAGTGATGGAATAGAAATGACAGATGTGGAATGAAGTTGTTTGTACCTATTACCACAGAAATCAAAACTTGCTTTTGACTAATAGGGCATATTGATTGAGAACTTAACCTCAATAGGAAAACCTAACAAAATGAAGGAAGATGTTTGCTTTTTTCCCCCACTGTTTATAAATCACCGCAGACTGCATTTTTTTACTCAAAACAGTTGCTTTAGGGAGAAAAAGCTTTCCAAAATTCAAAGTAGATTTCTCTGGTATTATCCTTGTCAAAATCAGAGTTTTGACTAAAAGTATTTAAATGGCACTAAAACATATTAATGATAAAGTATTTAACTAGTAATAAAAAAACATGAAACGGTGCCCAATTTGACATCATTATGTCACACTATTTCTTGTGTACTGATTTTGTATGTTAGATTTGGGATTTTGCTTAAGGGGACTTTATCTTTCTACATTTTTGCATTTCTGTTATATAGACGTTCACTCTAGGTAAACTATGCAAAAAAAATCCCACAGTAAATTGCATACTTTGAAAAGCATTTCACATTTTAAATCATCCTTTTAAACTGTTACTATTTTCTCCAGATCGAATTCATTTCAGAGCTACAACATAGTTATTTCAAAGTGTAGTAGTTTATCTTACAATTGCAACCATTTTATAGCACCAATATTTAATATAAGAAAATAGCCTTAAAATTATTGTTTAATATATATCATTTTGCCATTCTTCTTGAAATATGTAGTAGTTTGAAACGGCAGTATTGTCTCAAATAATGCTAGATGAAATTAAAACCATTTTGTATCTGGATATATAATGAGTTGTAACTGTATTATGTATGTTTTGAACATTTTCCTGTATTTTAATATTTAATGACTATCTCTAATGCCCAATTGAGAAATCTCCTTCATATTCTCAAAATAAATCAAAAGGAAAAGGCTTCTTTAAGGGGAAGCAATATTTTATAAATTAAACAGTATTAAACCAGGAGTTAAAAAAAAAAGATGTTGAATGGGACCTAACCAATAAGATGATGCTTTTTATCATTTACAAAACATAATTCTTTGGGAGAGAGAAAATACATAAATCATTTGTTCACCTAACCTGAATTGTTTGAAAGAGAACAAATACACAACCCATTCACTTGTTCCCCTAACCTGGCACTGTACTCAGTGCTGGGGATATAGTGGCGAGTAAAATAGCTACGGCCTTTACAGTGCTTCCTGTCTGGCTACGGAGAAATAGAACATCAGATAGTAAATATGTAAGGTACAACTTGTGATATGCCAAGAAGAAAAAGTAAAATGTTCAGAGAGACAGATGAGGAGACATAACACATAAACTTGATTTTTCATAATGGAACTAGAAAGGCTTCTGTGAGGACATGACAGGTGTAGCTTTTGCAGGGACGTGGTTGTCCAAGTGAGATGATGGTGATGACTGAAGTGGTAAGAAGGGTATGGAATCCAGGTGAAGTTTGGCAGGATGTACAGATGGTTTGAAAGTGGCGAGTGAGGAAGAAGAAGGAGTTTCTAGCAAAAAAGGCTAAATGCATGGAGGTTCCTGGGGAACGAGTGTGCTCGGGGGCACGCTTTTTGGACATCTCGGTTTCCAAGGCAAGTATGTATGGATGGAGCTAACCATAAACGTTTCGAAGAGATGCTATTTAGAGCCATAGGCATGAATGGTATGGCTTAAGGTGAACGTATAGTTTGAGATCAAGTCGTGAAAAACTCCAACATTTAGACAGTGATGGCGAACCTATGGCACGCGTGTCAGAGGTGACACGCAAACTCATTTTTTTGGTTGATTTTTCTTTGTTAAATGGCATTTAAATATATAAAATAAATATGAAAAATATAAATCTTTGTTTTACTGTGGTTGCAAATATCAAAAAATTTCTGTATGTGACACGGCACCAGAGTTAAGTTAGGGTTTTTCAAAATGCTGACACGCCGAGCTCAAAAGGTTCGTCATCACTGATTTAGGAGCTGGTCAGCGCAGGGCGAGCTGGGGAAGAGGGCCGAGAGTGGGCAGTGAGGTTGGTGGAAAACCAAGGCAGGGAAATGTCAGGATTGCCCACAGGAGTCGTTAAGATGGAGGGCGTCAACTGAAAAGTTAGAGGAGGGCTGAAAAGTCCATTGGATCTAACAACGTGAATGTCACCAGTGACTTTAGCAAAACCACTTAGAATAAAAAAAGGGGGGACTTCACTCAGGCATTTACAGACTGGTGTTCCACGTCCACAGTGTCCAACAGGACATTGGATATTTGTATCGGATGTTGAATTGGGGGTGATCTTTCCTTGTGTGTGATGCCCGGTGCCCCTGCAGAATGTTGAATGTAGTAAGTAGCACACCCAGTCATTGAGACGACAAAAAAGACAGACATTAATTACCCTCATCCAGCACCACGGCTACTAAGACGTCATAAGATTGGGATCCCCAAATCCTAGCCAAGCCGTGAACTGGACAGCACACCTGGGAAGGGAAATCGCCAGACTTCCTGCAAGGGGAACGGGACAAGTTTAGTCACTTAGGTGTTTGTTTGCGGGGAGGCTTCTGTAAGTGGAATCCTCAAGGGAGCACTTTTTGGAGTGTTATTGTTTCTGATAAGTAAATTTTCCATATTAAAAAAATATATATTATTTTTATATATGTATATTATGTATATAGATGTATATTATTGTATATGTATATGTACATATACAATATATACATATATATGTAATGTATATACAAACATATATGTATATATACATATATGTATATTATTTAATATATGTGATATATATATATATGCATACACACATATATATATATATATATAGTACAGGGTTTGTTCCTTTAAATGCAATGTCTTTCCCACCTGATTTTCGTTTCCTCGCCTCCCAAGCGGAGTTACCTGCCTTTGGGGCGTGGCGAGACCATTAGGGACCCGGTGCAATGCCTGACCCCGCAGGGAAAGGACTGACTTGTTGGCACCGGGCCTGGCGGGTGACCTAGGTGTCCTGGGTGTCTGGCCGCCGTGC